CCTGCAACGGAACACCACTACCCGCCCAGGCTTCGCACCATGAAATAACCCTGAAAATCCAAACGTTTTAAGCTTAAACTGGGCTAAGCAAATTATGCAGGAGTTATACAGGGGGTTAAGTACGGACCAATTCATATGGATTGCAGAGTCGTTTTATATGTGGTTTACAAAGCAGGTAAAAATGGGATTATTTTGGAGGCTGGGAAAGTTAGCACTATCATTGCCCGTAATACTACTACTACTATTTTTACTGTTGAATTTTAAACTGTTATTACTAGCTTTGGGCAGATGAGACCTCAGGTGTTTACGTAGCGTCAGTGGATCCAGATGGGCAAGCACATCAGCTCGGCGTGCGACAAGGACCTCAGAATAGCAGTAATGATAACAGCAATTAGTAGTTAAATAGGAGTAACAGTAAGAACAACAACAGAGCAATACTAGTAGTAATAGTCATTGTAAGAATAGTAGTAAAATAGAGGCATCGCAACAGAGACGCAGCCAAGATTGAGACTCCTCCTGCATGCACCGTGCAAGTGTTGCAGGGATGTCATCAAGTTCAGGCAAGTTCGGCTTTTGGGGTCAAAGCCTGTTAGCTTCGGTTAGCATTGCTGGCAACTGGCTTTGCCTCGCCCCGGTTGCGCATGCCTATATATAATAGGGTATATATTGGGGTTATTTTGGGGTATAATGGAAAAGAAAATTGAAACTACTATAGTGGGTTGGGTTATATAGGGATTATAGGGTATATCTTGGGGTTGCGCTTGGAAGCCTGGGTATGGAACTTGAGGAGACAAACTCGTTTCCATCGCAGGCAGGGCTGACAGATGCTGACACTCTAGCTTCGTTCGATCCTCTAGCGGCAACTGGCCCAAGCTCGTGAGATTCACGCAAGTAAGAGGTCAGACTAGTTGCGAAGGTGTGCTGGACTTATAAGTCACGAAGCATCGCAGGCTACGTGATCCCGGAGAATCCCAAAGAGGAATCCGTCAAGAAGTGGCCGCTGCCCCAACGCCTGGGAAGTGCTGCAAGTGGAAGCCTTGTTGATAGCCCGACGTGACATACAAATCTTTTATGGTACATGTCGACCAGATGCTGATAAGAAAGGGACGATCAGCAACCCTCGAGACTCAGGCTCAGCGAAATGATCCGACCTGGTAGGCTCACGCTGCGAGCCTGCGAGAAGATAAGGTAGTTTCCCAAAATAGGGGGACCCCAATATAGGCTCCAAAAAACTACAGTCCTTACTATATGGGGACCCCCAAAAAGGTACTCCTAATTTGGGGAAACCCGCAGAATGCTTTTGAACGTAGCTTGGACCATCCGCAAACTCGGACTTTTGACAGGCCAAGGGTTGGTCAGAGAAGCTGTGAGATAATTACTATATCATAGTAAGGTATATATTGGGGTTATATTGGGGTAATGGAAAAGAAAATGGAAACTACAGGAATTATAGGGCTTTTCATAGGGATTAGAGGGTATATATTGGGGTTATTTTGGGGTAATGGAAAAGAAAATGGAAACTACTATAGTGGGTTATATAGGGATTGTAGGGTATATCTTGGGGACCCACATTATTGGGTATATGTTAGGGTTATCTAGGGCTCATGGAAAAGAAATGCAAATTTGCTATAGTATAATTGGAGTTATAGTAGGGATAGTGGATAAGAAAATGGAAGCTTCTATCTTGAACCTTATTCTGGATGTAGAAAATAACTGAAGAGGGTTCACTTGCTCCTGCTCAGAGTTGCCGGCCTGGACAGTTGGGGGTCCAACACAGGATTGGGCCAAAAAAAATCTTTGAAGTCCTGCCTAGAGGCTAGACTCCAGGACATCCCTCTACATTAAATGCTGGAGATATGGCAGCTGACTCTTCGGCCGTTCAGCATGTTCCCCAGGTTCATGTCCGAGGCGGGCAAGGATAGCTCGATCTCTGCCTCTGCGGTGGTTTTTCCCAAGGAGGCTGATTTCGCTGTGCCTCAGCAGAATCATTTTTGGAAGGCTGCTTTGGGTCTCGGTTTAGGTAAACTGTGACTTTCCTTGGGAGCGACTTCGACCAGCTAGAGGCTCACTAGGCAATAGATACCTGCAGCTCCTTCAGAGGACACTGGCCTGGCAGCTGTTGCGGAGCCCGGCTGGCAAGAGGATGATGGGCTGGCAGTGCCGCCTGAAATGCTGGTCGGAAATGGAAAGGACTCGGTGTCGGAACATGTTGAAATCATGAGCGTTGCTGTTACCGTAGGCTTGTTGATCTGCAGGCGCGGAGTGCAAGGCACCAAAGAACCTCATTGGGGTAATGCTTCCTACTGTATGCCCCGACCAAGATGAGGGCATGCGCTTCAGTGGTCGTAATTGCAGGAGGTGGCCAGTCCAAAGAAGTCTCAACCAGAGCCTCCCCTCCCAGCAAACATCAGCGTTGAGGCCGGTGAAAGAGGGGCCAGCGTCTCAACAGTATGCAATTTCCGAACTCCACATACTCGTCGTAGATCCTGACGTCTGGCAGACCCAGCTGCGTGCGGAACTCTACGCTGCACGTGATGAAGTTCAGTCCCTCGAGCGATCCTTGGCTTCAAAGGCTCGACCTGGGACCTAGGCCAGGAGACCGCTGCACAACGCTTGCTTTGTCAGCCTCAATTCGTCACAATGAGATGGGACACCCTAAGCCTTGTACTGCAGAATGTTCTGATGTACCTTTAGTCCCCCGTGAGTAGATCGAATATGGCTTTGGGTATATTATAATAAGATCCCCATATACCCCATATTCTATCTACTTAAGGGGGACTATACTCCTGCAAGGAGAGCTGGAGGATTGTCGCCAGGAATGCTACGAGCTCCGCCACTTTGCTGCTGAGAAGGCCAGGTGATCAAACTTGGGCTCCTGGGGGTTTAGGGATTTAGGGTTTAGGGTTTAGGGATCATGCAGAGCCTGTGCCATACTGAGAAAGGGCGACAAGATTGTATGAGCTACAGTCTAAACTCCTTGACGGATTACATAGAGGATTTCTGAAACCTATGATTCAAGCAGACAGGGTGGCTTTTTCTTAATTGCGGCCCAGCCACAGAAGCTGGGAGCTGGGAACAAGTGGAAATAGCGTAGGATCCAAGATAGTAGGGTTTAGGGTTTACTGTTTAGGGTTTTGGGCTTTAGGGTTTAGGGTATCAGGGCTATATGATGTTATATGGGGATGCTCGGGCCCTGGCAACATTATCTC